GCTCCCCAGCACGGGCCCCGGGCGCCGCTCACACCCGCTGCACGGACGCCGTCAGCGCTCGCGACCAAGCCCTGCTCCAGGGCACAGCGCCGACGGCGGGTCTTTTCGCAAACGGCAACCAGGAACTCTGCGTGATCAGAGATAACCGACTGACAAAGCAATTAGGAATTTCTAGACACTTAGTTCTCCACAGGAGCGTCTTTCTTTCAAGGCGACTGGAACAAGAGGACGGGAGGAGCCGCCGGGCGGGCGGCGCCATGGCCGGTGGCCTGCGGCCGAGGGCGCGTCAGGGCGGTCTGAACGCCTGGCTGCACGCAGCCCCCGCGGCGGAGGCGGCCGCCCTTCCAGTTCGAGCTCTGCCGGCATATTCCGTCCTAACTGAAACAGTCTCACGGGTGGGGCCGCCAGCCCCTGCGCTCCAAGCAGAAAGAGCACGCGAGGGTGCACCCCTGCAGGAGACGCTGCGTGGGGCGCCGGGCGCAGGCGCGGGGAGGTCAAGGTGCACACTTCCAGTTACCCAACAAGTCCGTCCCGGAACGTCACGCAGGTGGGCACGGTAATTCAAAGCCCACCACGTCGTAACAAAACATCGCGCACATAAAAGCTGAAAAACACAACGCTTTCACCGCCCGCCGAAGGGGAAAAGGCCCCCCGGCTCTCGGGACCGCCCCACGGCCTGACCCGGGGCCACGCTGCCCACTTCGCCCTCGCGCTCTGGGCCAGAGGGACATGGCGCTCAGGGGCAGGCCGCGACCCGCGGGGGGCTGCGGACAGGTGTGCGGCTGCAGCAGCCTGGACCACGTCCGAGGCCCCCGGGCCTCAGCGCGTGTCGCATGGCCACAGCCTCCTCTGACGGCCGCCCGGTGTCTGACAGAGCTGTGCCTCACGTCGCGGTGACAATGACAGCACGGGGAAGTGGGGCTTGCCTCAGCTGCTCGCTTCCCGATGCCCGGTGCCACGCCCGAAAGGGGTGGCAGGGAGCACGCGGAACCCCCAGAGCAGCGCCGGGCCTTGGGGTTCAGCATTCAGGGGGCCGCCCAGGCTGGGGGCCGAGGAGCGCTGCCCCTCTCGCACCCAGTGACGTGCCACAGCCCTGCCTGTCGGTGCAGGGTCCCAACAGGAACCCGGGCTCCGCAGCCGGACCCCGCCCCCACGGCCACAGCCGAACCTGCACCACAGCCCCCCGGCCTCCGCTCAGCTCCCCGCGCCCGCCGTGTCTGGACGCCCAGCAGGCACCAGAGAGCGTCATGAGGCGCTGCGCCCCTTCAGTGCTCTCCAGCGGGGTCAGCAGCTCTGGGGTGAGCAGACCTTCCCAAAGGCAGCGACGGCCCAATGAGAGGACAGCCGGGTCACCGAGGGGCCACCGCGACGCACCGGCCTTGCGGTCGGGCCAAGGCTGAGGGAAGCTGACTCGGGGCCTGTGAGCACCCCAGCACCGCCAGGCTCCTGGGGGAGGGCGCCGCTCCGGGTACCTGATCTCCTTGTTGATGGCGTCCAGCTGCTCCTGGAGCATCATGGCGAGCGTCTGGGCGTCGGCCTGCCCGCTGGGCGACAGCAGACCCGCCGAGCTGAAGAGCGCATCCCTGTCCTCGTCACCATCAGACAGGTCAGCGTCGCTCTCGAAGGCCTGAGCCACATTGGCCAGGACGCTGGCTTGCTGGGCGCGCTCCCAGTCCTGTTCGTTCAGCGTCTGCACCTACAAGGACGTGGGGCTCAGCCACGGCGGGAGCAGCGGCCGCCAGAGCCACGTCGAGCAACTTACTGGAGACCTGACCCGCCCGGACTAGCTTCCAGGAGAGCTGGCTACGCGCACAACCTGCCGCCGCCGTGAGGCAATGCCAAGAGCCGGCGCCGTGCGCTCCCCGGCCAGCTGCCGCCCTACTGACTCCACAGGGAGGCGTGTCTGTGACCCTCCTGACAGCGGGGCCTGAAACCCGCTGGCTGGCGCCTCCCCAGCCCCTGCCAGGCGGCCTCCCTGCTGCCCAGACCCCGCGCTGCGCACACGCCCCTGCGGGCGCCCGCTGTCACCCCCCTTTTGTCTGCTACCGAGACACGCCCGCCAGTCTCCCCGCCTCCCTTTGCAAAATGGCCAGGAGGAAGCCGCAGCAGCCAGCCCCGTCTGGAGGGTGGAAGTCGCTCACCCCACAGCCAACGGCCTCACCTGCACCCCACTTGCGGAGTGGTGTTCAGCGCCTCCCTCTGGCAGAGCCTGCCGCGGCCCACGAAGCTCCCCTTTCTGACCCTCCCCTCCCCTCGCCCAGCCACCTGTGGCAGGGCCTGCCCGAGTGTCCTGCTCACCTGGCTCCCACCCCACTGGGCTCTCCTCGGTCTCCCTGCGCTGCTCCTGGGTTCCAGGCCGACACCCACGTTCCCCGGGGCCTGGCCTGTGGGCCACTGGCGGCCTCCCAGGCTGCCGTCCTCCCCAGGGACAGGTGCCGCCTGGTGCCCTCGGCCCGCCCAGCTCCGTCGTCCAGCACGCCCTGCTGGCACAAGTGCTCCTCTGTCCCCCAAGTCTCGGCTGGAACATCACCCTCCTGGTGACACCTCCCGAGTCATCCTGTTTCAGATGACCTCCCCTTCTTATTCAATAGCTCAGGGCACCCCAACTCCCTTTCCCACTCAGGCACAGACTAGGGTAGGGCAGAAGTGCGCCCGGGAGGCTGGTCCCCTCGCACCCCCACGCCTGAGCGTGGGCAGGTGGGGTAACCCACGCCAATGAGCAGAATGAGGGGCTGTGGGTTTCCTCCCCCTCGAGACGGCTCAGTTTCGGGGAGCTGGTGCCCCACTGTGACGTGCGGCCCCGAGTCTGCAGGGTGAGCGGGGGGCCGCCCCTCTGCAGGAGGTGCCGAGACCACAGCCCACCAGGCCCGTGGCAGCGGCAGACCGGGAGGGGGCACGCGCGCCCACGTTCGCCGCGATACACCCCAGGGCCGGCTCCAGCTGCCTGCGCCTCCCCGGTGCCCGCAGGGTACGGCTGCACCCTGTCCAGGCACAGCAGAGCCGGGCCCGGGACCACGCCTGGCACCAGTAAATACGAGGACGTAGACGTATGAGCAAATGCACACCTGACAAGCCACAATTTACCAGAATCTTTGGTCTTAAGAAAAAAAAACTCAGAGGACCTCACAGGCGGCCAACGAGGACGCTGCTGTCCCCGCAGCGGCCTGGGTTTGATCCCGGCCCCTCACAAAGCACAGCAGACCCCTCCTGTCCCCCTCTACTCCTCTCAACAGTGTGTCTCAGTGGATCCACCTGCCCTGCTCCCCAGTCTCCGGTGAGTCCTCTTACCCCCACACCTCTGGCCTGCACCTCCCCCGCCCCAAGTTCTATGCAAAAAAGTGTGTAACTTTGAAAAGAAACCCTCAGCCAGAGTAAAGAAGAACGGGGGTTGGGGGGCGAGGAAGTGAGCGAGCCCCGTCCCGTCTTGGGACGGCAGGGGAGAGGACGGCCTTGCCTTGGAGGGCTCATCGCGCAGAGCGGCCAGCCGGCCCTTCTGGGGACGCCGCAACACCGCGCTGCTGCCGTAGGGGTCTGCGGGGCCGTCTGCCACCGGGAGCCTGAAGTCGGGGACGCTGCCCACGTGGGGCCTGCTGGAATGGGAAGGAGGAGGTCACGGTCAGAAGTGAGCCGGTCACCCGGCTGGGACCGGAGACTAGGCAGCTTCCAGAAAAGGTCTCCCGGGGGACGCCTCGCGGGCCAGGGCAGCGCCCAGTCCCCCGGCCCTGCTGGGCGGAAGCGGCCTGCACCCCGGGA